GCCACTGAAGGCACTTGAGTTTATTTAGGTGTTAAAAAAAAACCCCACTTGTGAAGGCTATTTGGCCTTTGGAAGAGTGGTGCATGTAAGCACTCATTTAAAGTGGGTGCAAGGGAACCAGACTTTCAGCTTAACGTATTCACTGAGGTTCTCTCAGAGTCTGGTCCCTTTCATGCAATGTTCCTGTTTTGTTATCCTGCTAGTAATGTACTGTATATAAGAGCAGGTCTATTAAAGGTTAATCAGCTTGTGCTTTTACTCGGATAATTTAAACTGTAGCTATATTCTCCTCTTTGACATAAATGGGTTGTGGGACATCAGGTTTTTTTTTTCTTTACTTGGCAAGTTTTCAGGCTTTGTCTGAAGTTTGAAGTGGTGTGTTTTTGATATGTTTTTATTTTAGACAAGGTTCATTGCAATTTCTTGGTTATATATTGTGTTTTCTGTGTCTACAGATATGTTAGTGACTCTGGTTTGGATAGAGAGCACACTCCGGTTAGACAAATGACATTAAAGTCTCATGATTTCTTATTTGACTGTTCAGACTGAGGAGAGGAAAGAAAGTATCTCTTTTGGGACCACATATAGAAGTGGCCCACTTCAGGACTAAGAAAAGACCAGATTCCATGTGATGTGTTTTGTTCACAGTTGTCATGAAAAACAACTACAACAACAAAAAAACACATCTTACCCTGCAGTGTAGCCTCTGAGACAAACAGCGCTTTGACTTAATATAGACGCTACAAAGCCAGTCTGCTCACAGGAGCAGTGCTAACGTTCTGAGGATAATTTTTACCATGTGCACAGCTTAATTTGCTCTACCAGCATGCAAAAATGACCTAATTAGAAATCAAATCAAAATTCAATTGAGGCTTACAGGAAAGTGTTTTTGGGGGTCTGGAGAAGTTTCTCGGATGAGAGGTGAAACGTCTTCAAGCAACTTAAAGAAGGCCAGACACTTAAAGTGGGGTTTTTTGGGTTTTTTTGTAAATATTAAACGGATTAGCCAAAATAATCTCATTTTGAACATTCTGTACTTTATAACAAACTAATAGTTCAATCAAATCAATCAATCAATCAAACCTTTATTTGTCACATGCAAGTTTGCACCTGCAGTGAAACACATACATATGGTTGCTGTCATATAATCACTGGGCACTTCATTGAGTACACCTTGCTAGTACTGGGTTGGTCCCTCTTTTGCCTTTAGAGCTTTCTTAATTCTTTTATGGTGCTGGAAACATTCCTCACAGCTTTTGGTCCATATTGACATGGCAGCATCACATAGTCGCTGCAGATTTGTTAGCTGCACATCCAGCATGCGAATCTCCCGTTCCACTACTTCCCAAATGTGCTCTATTGTATTTTGTTGAGATCTGGTGACTCTGGAGGCTATTTGGTTACACGGTTTCATGTGTAGGAAATCAGATTTGAGCTCTGTGACATGGTGTGTTAAAGAGCTGGGAGCAGCCAACAGGAGATGGGTGTACTGCGGTCAGCCGCAATACTCAGGTACGCTGTGGGACTTAAACGATGTTCAGCTGGTACTAAGGGACCCAAAATATGCCAAAGAAATATCTCACACACCATTACACCACCGCTAGCATTGTTTACACCACCAGTGTTTACACACCTGCCATCTACATGTGTCACAATGACGCAACCTTCAGACAGATCAGACAAGCCAATGTTTTCCAGGCTTCTAGAGTCCAGTTTTGTTAAAGCCATTGAAACTGTAGCCTCAGTTTCCTGTAGCAGCACCCAGAGTTGTCCTCCGTTGCTATAGCTCATCTGCTCTAAGATTAGACTTGTTGTGCATTCATAGACACTCTTCTGCATACCTTGGTTGTTATAAATGATTATTTAAGCTACTGTTGCCTCCATTTCGGCTCAAAGCAGGCTGGCCATTCCTCTCTGACCCCTGACATAAACTGTTTTTTGTTTTTTTGTTTAAACCCTAGACAGGGTTGTTTGGAATTTTTCCAAACAACCATGACAGTTTCTGAAATATTCCGACCAGCCTGTCTTACACTAACAACCAAGTCCCTTAAATCCCCTTTCTTCCCCATTCTGGTGTCTTAATTTTACACTCAAAGGAGTCACCCTATGCTTCTGCACCGGCTTCACTTTTCAGGCCAGGAAAATGTATAAAGTACTGCAAATTTAGACCAAAGTCTAGAGTCTCAGTGATACAAAGTAGGCAAACAAATGACAGCCATTCAATACTGCTCGCCTGGGTAAAAATGTATTTGTCTTTATCTTTAAATGCTACACAAATAAAGGATGACATTTCTAACAACTTGTTTCTAGACCAACCATGAAGCTGGGGTAAAATTTGCAGCGGAAACAAGGCATATATGCAGCATCCAATCTGCTCATTCACTGCTAGTGTCTTTTGCTTTTGAGGAACTGGATAAGTAGCCTTTCCTTGGTGTCTAACCATGGAGACCAGCAGCTTCCCAGTGCTTCTTTGGTTAAGAAAGTTCTAAATCAGCCTTTGGGCTATGTAACTGTGTCACAAGTTGTACTACCAGCAAATAAGCTCAGCCGGCACTGTCAACAGTAGCTGGTGGTCCTGCTGAGAAAGGCTTTGCGACTTTGTCCCAGAGAGTTGTGCTCATGCTGTGCTCTCCTGTCAGAAGCCATTCTGTCTCATCCGCTCTCTGTCTCCATCTCCTAGCCTGGGTACATACGCAAAGAGGAAGTGTATCACAAATGCATGCAGACAAGCTTGCCCATGAATCGGAGACGATTAGATTAGATTTGTTTAACGTGCGCACACGCACACACTCTCTTTCGATTTCACCCTGTGTAAACTTTCCACTGCTACACTCTGTGTCATTCCTGTTGTCATTCTAATTTCATAGGAGGACTCCTGCCAAGGCAGTAATGAACTCAAGTCATGAGGCAGAGGCCTCGGCGAGCGGTTATGAGCCGTGTGTGTGTAGCAGAGAGAAAATGAGAGAAGGTAAATGCAGGAAAAAATGGTGTTAAAGAGGGGGGCTGGCCAGGTTTATGCGCATGGCTTGTGGGCTTTGTGTTTATGTGTGTTTCTGTTTCCCGTGTATAACACTGGGCTTGTTTTGAGTTAATCAGTGCAGTGGGGTGTATCATCTAAGCTGCTGTAATGTGTCGACTCCTTTATTCAATTTGAGCAGTAATCTCAGCGCTCCCCACTGGCCTGCCTTCATCAGCCGCGTGCTACAAAGCTAGCTTAACTTAGCCAGGGAGACACAGAGAAGCAGAGAAATGCTGAAGAGCCATTTTTCTGGATCAAGATTATACTTAGAAGAGTTTAGCCAGACTAAATCTCCTCATTATACTGCACACACAATTATTAGGCAAATTGTACTCCTCAGGATTAAATGTATTGTTGAATAAATGCAATGAGCTCGCTGTATCCAAAACTGAATATACACATGCGTAAGTATTAGGTGTTCAGTTATCAATATTAAAGCATCTGTGGAGTCGCTTTTTTCTCTCCATCTGTTTGTGATCAGATTTCACTGAAGCAGCAACCACAACCTTCCAAAGGCTGTTTATAAAACCTTTGACCAAAAATCTATCGTGAGGTATTCCTTGGTCAATAATGATGCCTCAACTTGTAAACATTCTCTCTCTTTTATGTACAATCCTGTTGAATATTTGCAGCAAAACATGGACTATCCACCGAGCATGCCTAAATAATTCAGCTATTTCAAGGGCATTGCATCTATATGAAAGACTTATTTTTATTTATTTATTTATTTTTTTACATTTTCTGACTTTTCAGTGTGAATTAAATCTATTTTTCATATGGAAACATGCCAAAGCTATACAAATCTTAATAGGATTTCAAAAATAACATAAAGAAAATACAGATTTTAATAAAATTAGATTAGGGGCGACAAATTATGCAGTGCTGGTGGAACAAGGCTAACATCATGGTTGTAAAAAGGTCACTCAGAGAGCTTGACTCTCTATGAAACACTGATGAGAAGAGTGTTCACTGCTTTGTTAAACACCGTGTGAGCCAATAGTTTAGAATAACATATTTGTGGATCTAACCTCCTATCGTACGTCTTTTAAAAGATTTTTTAAATCTCTCTGCGCAGGTGGTAAGACTAGAATACTCAATGCAGAACACTTTCCAAATATTTATGCACACAGTGTATGCTATGTGGATATTACTGTCAAGATGGACCTTGTTTGCTCAAGTCATTTGAGAGAGTTGTCTGCAGCTGCTTGAGGGACTTAAAAGGATGACGATGAGATTTATGGAACAGTCCTTTAGCTGCGTATCACCCTGCCCTCTGTTTTGCTTATAGTCGACTTCAGCACCAAGGACAGCACAAATAGTGGCTCGAGTTTTTTTAGTAGCTGTTTTGTGTAGCCTGTAACCTACTTGTTGCATTTTGTAGTCCTTAACCAGAGAGGAAAGTAAAAGTGGAGCACTGAAGCAAGGTCACCGCTCACCCTTGAGTATGACCTCTATATTTGCTATATAGTTGCTGCACATTAATCAGATCCAGGGGCAGCTTCAATTCAGAAGAGATTTTTTTACAGTCTTAATGTGTGTGTGTGTGTGTGTGTGTGTGTGTGTGTGTGTGTGTGTGTGTGTGTGTGTGTGTGTCACTCAGCCTTTTAACCTCTTCTTTCCCCACAACTTTTCTTTTTTTACTGGGGAGATTTTCCTGTCAAAATATCTCCAATCCTGTGTAGACATGATATGGCCTGTTGGTTTTCTGGATTCTTTCAAGCTTATGACTTACTGAGACAAGTGGCATGACATGTTTTGGATGTTCTTTGGATTCCGCAGAGTCCGTGTGTACCTCTCCCACTGCAGCCGAGTATATCATGCACCCGTTTTACGCTTTCATGTCATACTGGTGACGACCCTCTGCCCCCCACCACTACCATCACCACCCCTTCCACCGTCCTGTAAAATGATATCACACGGTACAGCTGACACAGTCTCACTCTTCCCACTGTTCTTTCTACCCCGCCCCACCGGGCACGGCGGTAGCAGGTGCCGAAACGCCCCCAGAGAACCTCGCTGAAAACGCGGCCATGCCGAGCGGTGACACTCTGCAGCCGGACTGCCGCCTGGTCTCATCCGTCTTTAGCGCTTCACAGAGCGGTCGGATGCCATGAGATTTCCCACAGGCCCTCACTGGCTCCATGCTGTGAGTAAAACCGTGGTCAAGAGGGGATAACCAACGGCGGATAATGACGTGATGATTCCGGTTGTAGAGCCAGCACAGGGGGGCTCCGGGCACCTTTAATGACCGGTGCTGGAGAGGAAATCACTGGACTTTATTGTCTGTGGAGCCGCGTAACACCGGACCGACAGCGGTGCAAATAAGAAGAAGGGAAGAAAAGAAAAGAAACGTCTCTCTAACAGGTTGCTGAGACATTCAGTCCGAAAAGGTAGGGCATGACTGGATTTACAGTCATCCGCGCGCCACTTAACAGCTGTGCGCATTAAATTATCTGCTTAATTGAGTAAAATGAGGCTAATCAGTGATGTAACAGCTGTTAAATTGACCTCCAGCCGCCAATTCGGTTAAAGCATTAGATGTGTTTATATCGTAAAAGTAAGGATTTTCAATTTTATTTCGCCCCCCAAAAAAGAAAAAGAAAAATCGCCTCTACTGTAGTAGACGTAGTAGTAAACGTTACTTGAAATGATGTGGACAGTAAGGTGAGTAAAATCGATTTTTATTTTTAGAGGGTTTAACATCTATCTCACAGCTCTTTCTAGTAATTTTGCGCACAGTTGTCTGATTGCATTGGACTAGGATGAAAAAGATGTCAGAGGTTATTGTGGCGTGAATGACCAGAAAATGTGCTTTAATTTGCACGATTATGACAACTTCCATATGTCTTATGAGGTAATATGAGCACTGACAGGGGGCAAAATGTGTCAGTGATTGTGTGAGCGATTAATGATGTGAAAATTGATGGATGAGTGGATTTTTGATGGGAATGCAGACAGATCCATCCCCACTTTGAGACAAACTCGTTCATTTACTGTAGCCGCAGTGCTGACCACATCACTGCTGGGGCCCTGAGGCATCTCTTGAAATCATTGTTATAACTGATGTCAGGTCTTTTTTGGGGTTTTCCAGGGGGGATTTGCAGCACAGCAGAGAATGCTCTCCCCCAGATGCTGACTTCTAAAGGTAAGGGTGCTTTTGGTACAGCTATGTCTCTGGCACTGTTTGTTACAGGAAGCCAGCACTGTAAACCTTTGGCCACAAGTTCGTGCAGTGCCTCTGATCTCTATTCTGAACCTCTGGGCAAACTGTGCAAAGGAAAGTTGTGTTTCTGCTCTTGCTGTGGATCTTCAATTCTGATCTCAAGAGTGTACTTGGATTTCTGTATAACCCCCCTCCCTCCTTTTTTTGGCATACTCTGAAAGAAATTCATCCCCAGAACCCCTGAGATGCATTCAGTCATAAGTAATGCAAAAAATAATTGACAATGAGGTAATTAGGACATGCGGTAACCGCATCAAACGCAACAGGAGACCTGATTAAGTTCATGTGCCGTCAGTCATAAGGAAAAAAGTGTATTTCTGAGACTCATTTTCTGAGTATTTCATAATGAAATCTAGCACACACGCACACACACACACACACACCACCTTCCTCCCTCTGGCTGCCTTTGTTCCCTTCTGCACCCTTCTGATAGTGGGTGTTTCTGTCTTAGATGTGGATGTGTTCCTCTCCTCACACGCTGAGATGAGTGCTTTCAGAGGCAGACAAGGCAGAAAAGTCCCCGATTTTACTACCTGGCTAAATTGTCCTGTGATGGAAAAATATTGTTAAAGGAATGATACCTGAATAATTGAAGCCCCGGGGCTTTAAAATTGCAAGGACCTGCTGTGATTTGCGGCGCAAAGTTGAAGGCCACCTCAACGAAATATTCATATCATTATTTAAGAGTGGGTATATCATTCAGCCACTCAGGCACTGCCACCTTCTCCTGCTTCCCTACTCTCCCGTTTGATCCCTCCCTTTCCTTCTCTCTTTCTTCCTTTCTCCATTTGTAAACTCATCTCTTTATTTATAAAAAATTAACCACATGCTAACCCTTATCCATATCTTCTAGCTCTTATTAAATAAGAACTTAAAAGGCATATATTGAAAATCTTGCATACCGCCTTTCTGACATAGTAGTAGTAGTAGTAGTAGCTTTAGTAGTTTTTCAATGATATGTATATAAGTTTTGAGCAGTTAGACATCCATTCATCCATCTTCTGATGCTGGATGCATCTCTGGCTCATCTGGAAGGACATCAGGGCGTTCCCAATCCAGTCGAGAGATATAATCTCTACATCATGTCCTGGGTTTGCCCCTGGGCTTCCTTCCAGTAAGACATGCCCGAAGCACCTCACTTGGGAGGGACCAAAGAAATGTCCTGGACAGATGCCCAAACCACCACATCTGGCTCCTTTTGATATTGAATAGTTGCAGCTCTTTGCTTTCAGGCTCAGGTCTTTGTTCACCACAAGAGAGTGACATAGTATTCATTCTTTCATGAAAAAGACCCCCTGATACTTAAACTCATCTAATTTGGGCAGTGCTACCCATGAACTAGCCTAACATTCAAGTCTGTCCTTTCAATGATACATAATTTATATTAATCTTTCACTAATCCACTCAAACAAGCAACCATAAATGGATAGGAGAAGTCGACAGACGTGGACAGATCACGATAGTTGTGTAGTAACATTTCTAGGGAAGTGCACTTCAAGTTTTAGCATACGTTTTCAGAGGTGTGGTTATGACACTTATACAGTATAGATTTAACACAAAGTCCCTGTTAAGCAGTCCTGGTAATACTGGTATGCAGGTTTTGTTATCTTCAAAATAACTAAGCCACATGCTTTACTCTCTCTCCTGTAGGTTGCCTTTTGTGCTCACGCCCACTCTGCCCCTCCCTGCACCTCGTTCTTCCTCTTAAAAGGGAGTTTTTCCTTCCCACTGTGGCCTACTGCTTGGCTACAGGGGGTTGTGTGATTGTTGGGCTTTCTATCTAATATTGCAGGGTCTTTACCTTACCACATAAAGCAATTGAAATAATGTATACAGTAAGGTGCTGTTGTGATTTGGAACTATATAAATAGACTGAATTGAACTGAACGAATTAAATTTCCTCCCCATTTCCAGCCTTTGCTGCAAACCTAAGCTAATTTTCCTTTTAGCTTCAGATTGACTGAACAGATACGGGATCACTTTTCATCTAATGATCTGCCGTCATCCACTGCTTTACTGTATAGCAGAGAGTTTTCTAATTAAAGTTTCCTGTCATAGCTTCTCTAATTTCCACAGTTCACTCAGGCATCACATGGGAGAAGAACCTCCCAGCTTCACAACACTAATCATCACCACATCGTCCCACATGAAAGTTCTGAGGGAAGCGGTGTTTTTTACCTCTTCAGCATTCGATCAGGGGTGTTTTTGGTTGTGGGTGCGTGCGTGTTCATTTGCATGCAGCTGTATGCGAGGATCGTTTCATTTCCCGCAGAGAAAACGAATTAAAATATGACACCTCTCTCTTCTGCCTCTCATCTCGTGCTTTTCACTGTGTTAAGAGATGGCAAAACTGCTAAATATAGTTCTGCAAGTGGAGTGTGAAACCTCTTCACCTCTCTCAGCGTTTCTAACATTGCGGAGGTCGAAATGAGAGGATTTTGTGGTAGCTTGAACAAAGGTTTAATCATCTTTCTAATGAACTCTTCATGTGCATGTTGTATGTGAACGAAAAAGGGAGGGAGAGGAGAAAAAAGCAGAACAAGAAGAAGAAGAGCCACTTTTCTTATCTGTGATACAGCAAGGCTAATGTGATTTTTAAGTAATACTAATTATAAAGTATATCCTAGAGACGAATATAACATCAGGGTAAATATGGTGTAATGCAGTATAACAGATTTAGTTTTTCTTAGCATGTGTATTTGTGTTAAAGTTGATGATTTATTGTCTTTGCATGCAAGAATTCCCGTTTTCTTGGTCTTTAATGGCTTTTCACAAGTAGAAAAGAAGAGGAGGCCAGTCAGAGACTATAGCAACTCAATGCCTTGTATTTTCTATGAGGAAGGTTCCCAACCTGCGATTGTTGACTTTATCTGCTGTATCATTAACCCAGACTCCAAAATTCAGACAGTTGAGTCAACTTGCTGGCTGTTTCCATACAGATGCGTTCGCTCGAAATATAAGAATAACTTCCCAAAGGATCAATAAAGTTGTGGTATTGTGGTTGAATTTTTCTTTCTGAGTCTTTTTCTTTCAAAGTCAACTATCTGGTAAAGATTTTTTTTTTTTTTATGCTCACAGATTTTGAGACTCGGATGTTCAATAAAGTCATCTCTCTATGTTCTTTCTGATTAATCAATTAATCAAATCGTCTACAAAAATGTCAGAGAATTCCCAGAAGATGGCAGAAATTTTAGAAAACCACCAAGGACAAATTCTTGATGCCTAAGATCATTCATAATAAATGAAATCTAACAGTGTGTCCAATATAAAGCAAAAAGCATGACCTGATTTAAATTTTGTCCCATCGAGGTTTCTCCTTGTGCACCTCTGAACCCTTCCAGCACTGCTGCTATGTTTAGATCATTAATTGGAAGTCCTGTTTTTACCTGTTGTATGTGCCTATTTGCGGCAGCACTATGAACCTCAAATCAAGCACAAACTTCTCTTTAAAACTCAGCCAACCTGTGAGCCAAGAATCATCACTGCTGATGAGAAGCAGGTGGTCGCCACAGTGAATTCTCTGCCTGTCCCTAGCATCCCCCACTGTCACACCAACCTACTCCGTGTCCTCCTTCACTTCTACACTTTGTGTCAGTCCCACCATCTCCAAACCATACCTCATAGCATGTCTCCGTACTGTTTTGTAAACCTTCCCTTTCACTCTTGATGCTATCCGTCGGTCACAAATCATCCCTGACACTCATCTCCACACACTCCACCGTGCTTGCACTCTTTTCCCCTCTCCGTTACACTTTTCGCTGGATGGCGGACCCCCAGATATTTAAGCTCATCAACCTTCTCTACATCTACTGCTTGAAGATTCAGTCTTACACCTGTCTCCCTCTCAATCAGACATAATCTTTCATGCTTCTTCCGACTTTCAGTCCTCTTCTCTCCAGTGCATATCGTCACCTCCCCAGGTTTTCCTCCACCTGCTCTCTTCTCTCGGTACAAATTAATTGACAGTGAAAATAATAATGAGCTGAAGCCAAAATTGAATTTTTGCCCAACCCTGCTAGATGCTCAGTGTTTTGAGTCAAGAGTGACAATGTTGCTGACTGCTTAAGAGCCTCCCTGTCTCTCATTTGCACATATACTTTACATCATTTCTTGGCAACTCTCAAAATCCCTGCAAATCTCAGGGATTTACATTTCCTTCAGCGCTGC